GACATACTTTGGGCATGTTGCGAGGAGGAACCAGTCCTTGGGGAAGGACATCATGCTTGGAAGAGTAGAGGGACAGCACAGGAGAGCAAGACCATGGATGAGAACGGTAGACACAGTAACTGGGGTACTGAGGGTAAGTGTGTCGAGATAGTGAATTTGGCTCAGGATAGAACAGGGTTCAGAGCTATTGTGCATAGGGTCACTATGAGTCATAGTCAACTCAATGGCACTTAACAACAACAAGCATATGGTGAATATATCTCTTCATATCTCCTGTTGTCATCCTAGACTTGGCTACCATCGTTTCTTCTGAGTCCACTACAAGGCCTCGGATGGCATGAACGTATTCTTTATTATTATTATTATTATTATTTTATTATATTTTGTGTGTACCGTCAAATTGGGTCTGACTGGTACAGGAGGAGATTGCCCCTCCTTCTCCAGCAGAGCATCTGGCAGATTTGAACTTTGTGTCCCTGGGATTGCAGTGCAGCTTCTTGCTACTAGGCCACCAGAGATCCCTGCATGAACTTATTCTTCCTCCCAAGTCTTCCAACTTTTCTCCTCTGGTACCTAGACACAATATATTGCTTCAAGCATTTTTAACTCCTTCAGCCTCTTATATGAACAATTTTCACATTTACTTTTGTCTGTTGCACAAATCCTTTGCCTATAATACTCCTTCACCCTTCACTCCATTCTTTATCTTTCCTCATCATTTTTTGTCTTCTTCCATCATTTATTTTGGCCTCACATGTCTTTTCTTCCAGAAATACTTCTGTCTTAGGCCAACTTCAATTTTTCTATTTTATATTCTCATAATTACCAACACTTCTCTCATCATCATTTTCATTATATACTGGTAGTAGCAGTTGTTTTAGAGCCCTGAAGATAGGCTACATCATCAAGAACATGAAATACTTTATCAGTCACATTTATTTTTCCCTAGAGTCAGTCCCATGGGATTCCTCCATTGTCCATTTCCAATGAGAACAATTTTTTAATCCAGCTATCTAGGATCAATCCTTAGAGAGGGGAATCACACTTGGGAGGGTGGAGGGACAGAGGAAGAGAGGAAGACGTTCGATGAGATGGATTGACTCGATGTCTTGGGGATTCGGGGTAGGTGTGCCAGAGACAATAAGGTTGGCTCAAGATACGGCAAGTTTAGGGCTGTTGTACATCATGTCACTATGAGTCACGAGCAATTCAATGGCACATAACAACAACAACAACATCTAGAAACAGCTATTTGATTCAATATTCTCTTTTTTCACTGGATTCCATGTTATTTTCTCTCTTAGAGAAATTATTTTTCTAAGAACTCCCTGAGAAAAGATGCACAAAAAACTCAATGTGAAATCTTCAATACTTGACATTGTCTTTACTCTGCCTTCATACTAACATATAGTTGGGAATAGATGGTATTCTATGCTGAAATTACTTGATTTTAGAATATTAAATGCACTGCTGTGGAGTCCCTTACTGTCAGAGCTTATGTTGAGAATTACAGTATTTATTTTTTTATTTTTTTTTTACAGTATGTTTTTGATTCTAAATAATTGATAGAGGATATATGTTTATCATCCTGAACTTGGAAGGTTTTATAACCCTTTTCATTATCCCAAGAGTTCAGAAATTTCATGATAATGTTCTTCGATGAAGGTCTTTTTCTCATATTTATGCTAAATAAGTCCTGCCAGTTTGAAAATGCATATCCTTCACTTCTGAGACCTTTTCTTTCTTCTCCTCACCTTTTAAATTTTTTTTATTATTTTCCCCTTCTAATTTCCCTGTTCTCTCTTTTCAATTGAGTGTTGACATTCCTAGATTGATATCCTAGTGTTGGTATAGTTGTATTGTTCATTCTTTGTCGTTGGTTCTATTTTTGTGGAGAGTAAGTTATTGACTTTATTTTCCTATAAATTCTGTTACATTTAGTTCAGATAGGTAGTTTCTCTGGCTCATTTCATCGTTGGAATAAGCTTTGTGATCCCGCTAGAGTTGGAAAATATAGTTCTCCATGCAACCTGAGTGATCAGATGCATTAGAGTCTGCTGTTCCTTACACAGAACTTTGAGCAGTCACTGTTCCCTGACTTGGCAGATGCCTGGTATCTATGATTCCTTAGATTTTCTGAAAATTTAAACTATGGTTTAGCTTTCTTCTAACCACCATCTTTCACTGTAGAACTTGGTATTCAGCCATCACAGCTTTATTGTTTTCTTCATTCACTCTACATCTTCCAACATATTCCTTATCACCTCATTTTCTACTTTTTAGAACTATTTTTTCTATATTATTTGTTCTCCTTTCCCCCTCTTTATTTTATACTAGTTTGCACACAAAATTAATAAACATTTTGTATCATTCATGTACACTGCATTTCACACATTCCTACATTTACATTGTGTTTCAAACTATTTTTAACCTTTTTTCTTTTCTCTCTTTCACCATTGTTTTAGTGTAAATTTTAGAAGTAGAGCACCAGGCTCTTCTCCTGATATGCCTCTAGATTGGTTGGAATTGTCCACCATTATATCACTAATTGAATGCTTAGCCAATTGCACTACTTGGGGACTTCATTGAACTCATCCACTAAGTCACTCACTCACTCATTGTCACTAAGTTAGATCTGACTCAGAGCTGACCCTTCAGAGGTTTTTCAAGGCTGTAAATTGCATGGAAACTCTTGGACTAGTCAAACTCTATGGGCTAGTTGAAGGGGACTCTGATGCCTAGTTCATAGGGAATTGCACTGCTAATCCCAAGGCCACGTCTCGGTGGTGGTTAGAACCCCTCATAGCTATGTGGCATAGAGTTAGAAGATTATTTATATAGCATGTTAAATTAGAGGTTTGTATGTCAACCAAAACCAAACCAAGTCCACTACCATAGCATCAAGTCTGACACACAGAAACTCTTCCTTGGTTTCTGAGGCTGTAAATCTTTATAGGAAAAGAGTGCCTAACTTTATCCCACAGAAGCCAAACACATAGTGAACTAAGTTGTCAGCACTCTTTTGTGGATGTTAAGAACTTCATAAATGTGTCTTAATCATCATCATTATTGTCACAGAAGGATAGACAACACCTTTGGATTCGTTCTTCTCGGATTGTGATTACTTCAGTGCATTCTCTTCACAGCTGGTTCCTCTTCAGTCAGTTAGCAGAGTTGGAACCTTGCTCTTCACCTGTTTTTATCTGCCTCTAGTGTGTAGCAATGAAGATATGAAAAGACTTTATGTTCAGACAGATATTAGCATCATTTAGTTATAAAATAGTAAATATTTGAATATGGATAGTGTCCAGGTACTCTGCTAAGGTTTGTATAACCATTATTTCATGTAATCTTCAAACAAACTCCAGATACTGGTCCCTCATTATCTCATTCTGAACTAACAAAATCCTGTTGTGGTTGGTTAAGATTTAGATTGGTTTTAGTTACAAAGAAGAAATCTTTTAGGCTATTAAAACCTGTGAATGTTTTACCCAAGAGAAGTAGGAGAGAAATCTCTCCTGATACACCTTCCCATGTCCTTGAAGAGAATAGATCTATCATCTATTAAGAAATAGGATAAGCTCTATCTCAGCATTTGAGGGCAAAGATCTGTTTTTGCTTATCTAACACCAGAAAGAATCCAGAGTCTCTTTGGGTTTGAATAAATGTGTTCCTTCATGAGTTGTTGTTGTTAGGTACCATCAAGTTGAATACAACTTGTAGTAACTCTGGAAACAATAGGTCTGAACCTTGTCCTATCCTGTGCCATCCTCACAGTCTCTGGCACACTGAGGCTTATTGCTGAAGATCACTGTGTCAAATCATCTGGCTCTGGATCTTCCTTCCCTTTGCTATCCCTCCACCTTTTCAAGCCTCATATCCCTCTCCAAGGAATAACATCTCCTAGCAATATTCTTAAAGTAGGCAAGATACTTCATCATCTTTGCCTCCAAAGAGCACTCTGACTCCACCTTATCCAAGACATATTTGTTCTTTTGGCAGTTCATTGGATATTCATTACTCTTCTCCAACACCACAGTTAAAAGGCATTAATTCTTCTCCTGTCATCCTTGTCAATTGTCCAGCTCTCAGATGTATAACAAGTGACTGAAAATACCATGGCCTGAATCAGTATGTCTATTTGGGCTTTCCTGATTATGCAAAAGCATTTGGCTGTGTGGATCATAACAAATTATGGCTAATATTGAGAAGAATGAGACTACCAGAACATTTAATTGTGCTCATGCAAATCCTATATACCTAGACCAAGAAGCTGTTCTACAGAGCAAGGGAGCTCTACATGGTTTAAAGTTGGGAAAGGTGTGTGCATCAGGGTTATATCTTTTCTCCATACCTACTTAATCTGTATGCTAAGCAAATTATTAGAGAAGTTGGACTCTATGAAGAAAAATGTGGCATCAGAATTAGAAGATGGCTCTCTGTAACCTTCATTATGTAGATGAAACAACCTTGCTTATTGAAAGTGAGGAGGACTAGAAGTACTTTCTGCAAAAGGTTAAACACTGTAGCCTTCAATGTGGATTGTATATCAACATCAAGAAGATAAAAATTCTCACCACTAGATCACTAAGCAACATCATGACAGATGGAGAAAAGATTGAGACTGTCAGTGACTTCATCTTACTCAGATCCACCAAGAATACATTTGGTACCAGCAGTCAGGAGATCAGGAGTTGTATTGCACTGGGAAAACCTGTAGTCAGGGACCTCTCCAAGTTATTAAGGAGCAGTAGTGTCGGTTTGAGGACTAAAGTGCACCTGACACAGGCTATGGTCTTTTCAGTCACAGTGTATGGATATAGAGTCTTATCCTGATAAAGGACGTCTTAAGTTGTCCTGAAGAGAAAAAGAATCTTAGTGATCTCTATCTTTGCATTAGAGATAGGTTTAGAGTAACAACATAGTTTCCTTCTTTTTTTCTCTGCAAAACTAACCCTGTTTTCCAGTGTATTTTAGTGACCAGTTAATTTCTTTTCCAGGAAACTAAAGAAACTCTTTCGGAAGCTGAAAGATGAAACTGAGCCTAGAGAAACTGACTCTGCCCACTCAAAACATCCAGAGCAGTGGGACCTAGACTACAGCTTGGAACCATATACTGGACTCACCCCTGAGTACATGGAAATGAGTAAGAACCATGGTCCTTCTTCTCACTGGGGGAAAAGTCAAGCAAGGGCTGTATGTGTCTACGTGTGTGTGTTCATTCATGCATGTATAGCAGAGAATGGAGCAAATGACTAAGGCAGCCTTTGCTCCTTCATAAGTTTCAGTACAACATGATCAGTTGAAGTGGGCCATAAAGAACCCCGGAATGAGAACCAGAGCAACCTAAACACCAGCTTGATGGTGTTTCTTTAATCCTTGGACATACTCTTAATCAATGAAATCAAAAGTTTAGTCTGTCCAGTCCCTTATTATCTTAAGCACTAATAAAGCTAAAAGAATGGTAAAAGAGAAGTTTAAGACTTAAGAATATAATTCCCATGATTGGATAATAAAGTAGCTGTGTGAAATTTGGGTCAAGATGTAGATATTTTTGACATGAGGAATAGAAGGGAGTCCTCATTCTGACCAGGTAAAGCTGGATAAGTTGTCAACTCGTCATGAAAACAGAAAGCAAAACCAAAATGTTTTATGTAAGAGGTGAGAGGAAAGGCTTTAATTATAGAGCCTTAAGTTGTTCTTAGATGAGGCTGAACAGAAGCATGTACATCAGTACAAGCTGCTAGAACATAATCGTATCATACTTGACTTCAGTTTGCATGTTGACTTCTCCCTTAGGAGAGGTGTCCCAACTTTGAGTTCTTAGTTAATGTCTTTGTCTTTGAATTCTTGACCACTTGTGGATAACCTTGATTTTATGGATGGATGTTTTAGAGATTATTCTTAAGACTTGGAACAAATGAGTTAAAAGGACCATAGACCAAGAAAAGGCATTTCTATAAAATTAATTCTCACTCATAGTGACCCAAGGAGGTCTACCTCCATAGTGCTTCCAGTGTTTTAAATCCTGGTGGAAGTAAATTGCCACATCTTCCTCTTGGTGGATTTGAACCCAACATCTTTTCAATTAACAGCAAAGTGCTTACAACTGTGCTATACAGATTCTTCATGAAGAGGACAGATAAATCATCTAAACATTTACTCAATAAAGAGATCATAGAGAAACATCCATGAAATCCAAAAAAGGAATCACTAAATTCTTTATTCAGTACTCAATATCTTTAGTCTTGGGATTATGTTTGCATAAGGACCTTTGCTTCTTTTAGTTAATTACACTTTCTTTTACTTTTTCATTGTAAATTGAGTGTTAAGTATACATAACAAATCTTTATTCTTTTCAACTATTCTTACATATTTTTTTTATGATGTGGCTTATAATCCCTACATTATACAAGCATTTTTTACACTATTTCCCTAAAGTCCTCTTTTCCTTCTGGCCTCTCCTTCTACCTTCTGAGCTTTACCCTTGGACAAGTGTTACCTTTGTGATCTTGTAAGATTGATTATTCCAAGAGCTGAGTACCTTTCAGGTGTGATTGTTCATCTTTTGGATCTGCCTGTTCTTTGACAGTTGTGTCCCAGGTATGTGGGTAATCACGTTCCATAAGGGCTCTCCAGTGCCTGTCTATGCACCCAGGTGATATATTAGAAAGTACGTCCCTCTAATTCTTTCTAATGGATTATTATTTCTGTTTAGAAGAAGTTGTGATGTTAGGGATGAAATTATGGACAGTGTCTAGATTAGGTGGCCCCAGAAGGCCTGATACAATCCCAAAGTAATCTAAAATTGTAGACAAAACCAGAGCTTTTGTAACCTAAGTAAACTTTCCAGAGAAGAAACAATTATATCTGTTGTAGAAGTAATAGGCAAAGAAGATATCAAGACCTTGTTTATAGAAACATACAGCTCTCTTAAGCCTTCCACCTTCTGCTAAGTGCTACCTCTAATCCCTCTCCAATGCTAAGTTAGATATTTACTTCAGAGGTGATTTCTCATATTTCAAATGCCTTTCTACATCGGCTATCCTTTCACTCAGAAAGAAAGAAATTTCTGCCAAGAGTTAGCCTTCTGTTTGGGAAAGGGTTTACATTAGAAAACCTTGGGCTTTGTTTCTCTCCACTCATCCTTCACTGATTACACCCCTGCTTTTCTTGAGTCATACTGGATCATTTCCTTTTTTGTCCCAGCACTGAATTTGGTGCATACACTGAGGATGCACCTTACCAAATGTATGACTACTACTCATTTTTCTGTTCTCCATCACATGCAGTCTGTCAGCTCCTAAAGAGAAGTGAAGGGAGCGCCAATGGCCTAGTTCTAAGGAGTTTCTCTGCCAACCCAAAGGCATGCTTCTGTAATCCAGCAGCTACCTTGTTGGAGAAAGGTCATCTCCTCCCATAGGATTTACTCTGAAAACCCACTAGAGGATAGCTGTGATTAGGTTTTGACTCAATAGTACATAACAACAACGACAAAAAGAAATGGGTAGACGCAATGGTTTATCCATCATCCTGTCCTCCAGGGCCTGGTACATTCCTTGCCACAACAGGCATTCAGTGTGCCTTGAACTACACTTGTAAGAACTTTAAGAGGCAAGTGAAGGATCATTCTCAAAATAGAGTTTGGTAGATAGGGGCATGTTGGGGATGGGAAGGGTGAGGTAAAAGATGTCCTAAAGAGATTTTTAGCTCTAGGAAGGAAGTTGTACTAGGTGATCCTCAATATCCCTTCTGATTTTAAGGGAACATATATTAATGATAAGAACAGAAAGAATGTTCCAAAGAAAAGGACTGGCAAGTACAAAGAGCCTCATGGCCATGAGTAACTATTAGCAATGAAAAGCAAATAAATGTCAGTTTAGGGGTTGGTGGTGGTGTTAGACGCCATTCAGTACAATTCATAGTGACCTTCTGAACAACAGATCTGAACCTGTCTTATCCTTGACAGCTCTGACGTACTTGAGACCATGTCCACAGTCGCTGTTTCAATACATCTCATTGAGGCGGGCCATCCTCTCTGTTGCTGACCCTCCACCTTTCCAAGTCTGATGTCCTTTTCAAAAAAATAGCCTCACCTAACAACATATCCAAAATATGTAAGACAAAGCTTCACCATCTGTGCCTCGAAGGGGTACTGTGGCTGCACTTTCTCTAAGACATTATCTGTTCTTTTGATTGACCATGGAACATTCAGACCTGTCCTCCAGCACCACAACTCAAAGACATCACTTCTTCTGTCAGCCTTATTCACTGTCCAGCAGTGGAGGAACTTGATGATCAGATAGCTTTGCATTCTACTTACTCATTATAGTATGTGTAAACTCTTTATTTGCCCTATGAATATGAGTGATAAATGTGTATGGGGGATAGTTAGACCAAACAAGGAGTGAGGCAAGTAGCCTGCCTTTCTTCTATCAGACATGCATTAAGGAAGTTCAGGTAGCCCAGCTCTGTTGCCTAGTTTTCCTCAAAAATTCAGATTGACATTGATGTCATCTTGTCTGGATAAAGAACCTTTTATCACATACCTCTTTTCCACAGTGATGTCCACAAATCTCACTAACAATTTTTTAGGTCATTTTTGTCAAGATGTTCAATAGTTTGAGATAATGTTTTATTTCATTTCATATTTTATGTAAATAAGAGAATCACATTTCTGAGATAGGTTCTTTTCATTCCTATCATCTCTAGATAATTCTTTTCAGCCTTTAGGGGAGTATTTGTCTCCAGTTCTGTAAAGGACTGAGTGATAGATCTTGCTAATGGGCCTCTCCATCAAGGAGTGTAGGCTGAGTGTAGTTAGATATGGTCTCCAGAATCACACTACTTCCTTCCAATGCTAGGTCTGCTGCAAGCTAGCTGTGATTCTGGCTTGATGTTTAAAGTCAACTAATCTGTATTTCTTCATCTATACACTGAGCTTGATAATAATCACACTCACAGTATTGGTCTGAAGATGAGGTGAAGAGTATAGAAAAGTTAAAAAATAGTGCCTGGTGCTGGATATCAGCTGCCACTATTATTGTCAGGAGTCCAATGTCTTCCTCTCAATTTAGACTTTTTTTTACTAAACCCAGCTTTAAACCCCCAAGAGTTTCTGTCATCCATTGGTGTGGGTTTGGGAAGTATGTTTAAAGCATGAGGATACTTGTCTCCAAGGCAAATCTAAGAATCACACTCAGGAGTCTGAATTATAAGTGTTCCAAGATGTTTGTCCATTTAGAGAATGCTGAGCCCCTCCAGCACTGCTTGACAAGTCTAGAATCTCAAATGGGCTCCTTTTGTCATCTATTTATCTAAAACCCACAAACTTTTGTTCCTCTGTCATCCAAAAAGTAATCACCATTGTCTTCCTGCCTCAAGATGTCAATTATCCTTCGTGGAGCCTTCCGCCAGCTTCTTAAACACAGCCCAAGCTTTGGGACCCTCAGGCCATTAATGTGGGTGATGAGATTCATTTCTTCTGCCTTTACACAGTCATTAGAGGAAATCTCATTTTTCTTAGTCATGAGCTTACATCCACTCAAAATACCCTAGCAGGAAGGGAAATGCATAGATGATTTTGTATTTATACTTTCATTTATTTAGAGTGAAAATCAGATAAAGTTTTTGGCATTTTTTCCTAGTTCATTGTGAACCAAAACAGATTGTCAGCAAAGGCATGCAACTAAACCCAGTATCCACTGTTATGCCATGGATTCCGACTCAAAGCGACTCAGGGGATGCCTGCTGGATTCAAACTGGTGATGATACAGTTACTAGTCTGACATATGACACATCATACCACCAGAGTCCTAGTCCACATGAACATACACAGGGTGTATCTACCTCAGAGACAAAGACACTGGGCCTTTGCACTTAGATCTGAGGTATATCATAAAATCTTAAGTTTGAACTCTAGTTTTGAAAAGTGCATGTGTCAACTGACATACGAACCTCAAACCTGAACCTATTGCCAGGAAGTCAATCTCAACTCATAGCAACATTGTATGGCCGAGCAGAATTGGGTCTTGGAGTTTCTGAGGCCATACATCCTTTCCAAAGTGGACTGTCTCTTCTTTCTCCCTTAGAGTGGCTGCTGGGTTTGCACAACTGACTTCAAGGTTAGCAGTCAAGTGCTCTAAC